GTTTCAACCATACACATACAATTATTTTATTGACAATTATAATCAATCTTGGCTATATTATCTTGTATTTGTAAACTTAGAATTACCAATTTAAATACACAAATTCAACATTCAATTATTTATGTATGAACAATTTCAATATAATCTTACCTTGATATACTTTAAAATACTTATTTAAGAAAAATGTTGGGCATTATCTCAATCGCGCAATGCGCGTAAAAAACTAGTATAAATGATAAAAGTTGAAAAACTAGTATAATAATATGATTTATGAGTTATAAAAAATAAAATAAAATAAAATATACACATACTAACATACACATAATTGCCAAGCACCTTGTGCTCAGATGGCACCCGGGTTAGACTCCCATATGGGAGGTTGTGAGTTCGGCTCCTCAGTGGATGAGTCTCTTTGTGCTCCAGTAAGTTGAGAATGTAACTATGAACAGATACTACATTGTAATAGAGTCAATAACATTAAAAAAAAATACACATAATTCGGTTAAATGATATTTTCAAACAGAATTATCATTAACTGAAATTTTTAGCGTGAGGAAAAATAAGGGACACAAGTATAAAAACAATTGAAATCCTTAATCATTAACAAAATCGAAATAGTTACATTTAATGGAGCCTTACGACCTAGTGGACCATAGTCGTTCAAGCGGTCCATGAAAGTGAGTAACCCAATGGCATGGGATTGGACTTAGTATAAAGGCAATCGTTATACTGTGCATCCGTATATACCATGCATGGTGCATATGGATCTAAAAACGACGTTGTTTTGATGTCTAACGTTAAAAAAAAAAAAAAAAAAAAAAAAAAACAGAATTACATAACTATACATTCAGAATTACATAACTACACATTTATAATTTCATAACTATAAATCCAGAATTACATAACTACAAATCCATAACTTCATAACTATACATCCAGAATTGCACAACTACACACCCATAACTTCATAACTATAAATCCAGAATTGCATAACTACACATTCATAGCTTCATAACTACACATCCAGGATTGCATAACTATAAATCCAGAATTGCATATCTATACATCAATAATTTCATAACTAAAAATTCAGAATGAATGAATTAAAAAATGAACAACATATTATTGTTGCTGGGAATCGAAACTGATTTTTTTTTAAAGTAGAACGCGCGTTTTGATGCAAAACGACGTCGTTTTTGCATCCGTATGCACCATGCATGGTGCATGGTGCATACGGATGCACAACATAATTTGCCGTATAAAGGTGAAAGAATAATTAGTTGGGCTTGGAGGGAGTATGAAGGCATGGAAGGACAAATTATGCGGTGAAACTGTGTCCACCAATTGCTGACGTCATTTCGTCCGTCCAAACGGTCAAAATCATATTATGTGTATTCAGTTAAAAGTTTATGTGTATTGTGTAATGAATTTCTGTGTATTCAGTTAAGAGTTTCTGTGTATTGTGTTATGAGTTTCTGTGTATTCAATTAAGAGTTTCTGTGTGTTCAGTTAAGAGTTTCTGTGTATTCAATTAAGAGTTTCTGTGTATTCATTTAAAAGTTTCAAGTGTATTATGTATCATGTTAGATTATGTGTATTCAGTTATGAGTTTCTGTGTATTCTGTTATGAATTTATGTGTATTCGAAACAAAGATTTTTTTTTGAGACAATGCACCAAAACAACGTCGTTTTGGGATGCGCGTGGCGCACATTGCTATGTGCACCCTGGTGCACGATATAACGATTGTCTTGCAAGGTAGACACGGTTCCAAAACTGTTCATAATTATAAATATATAGTTCAAAAATTATGAACATATAGTTCATATACATAGAGTTGTGAACATAATTATGAATGTATAGTTCTGTAAATATGAATATAGAGATTCAATAATTGTGAATATGAATTTCAAAAATTATGAATATATAGTTCAGTAATTATGAATATAGAATTCTGTAATTGTGAATATAGAGTTCAATAATTATGAATATGAAGTTCAAAAATTATGAATATGTAACTTTATAATTATGAACATATGCTTCAGTAATTAAGAACATAGAGTTGTATTCACCTTTCAAGGTGGACACGGTTCCACAACATAACGATTGTAAAGAATGAAATAAATAAAATAAAGAAAGGCTCAAGCCAATCAAGGCCCAGATCTAATATATTAAATGTACATTATTTTTTTTACTAAAGATATATTATTTTTGTACTGAAGGTACATTATATAAAATAATGTACCCTTTGTATATTAAAATGTATTTTCAAAAAATGTACCTTACGTACATAAATAATATACCCTTAGTATATTAAAAATGTACTTTTGATTTATGGTCCACACAATTGTATGGACCATGGTCCATGTAATAATGATTGTAAAAAATGAAATATTCTAACTAATAAATGCGAAAATGCAGGAATCAAGATCCTCTAATAAGCCCAAGTTTTTCAGTCAGCACTCGAAAATCCGACAGCATAACGACAGAACATGGACATATCACCCCTGCTAGGACAACCAACAAATCATATCACATGAGGCACATAGGCTGCTATAAAGAGAAATAAATCAAGTACATGACACAGGTTCCCATCAAAATTTGGCTCAAAGGCCATCCAATCATAAAATATAAAGAATATAAACAAGGCACGCAACCCGAAAGTAAGAACATGACACGCAAGCCACAAACAAAACCCGTGTCCGCAATATATGACACAAGCTCAAAAATCATGGCATGCAAGCCTCATCAAAATATCATCAGTATAACCAGCAGCAACGTAACACAACCCCTCTTCGCTGACTTCCATGAAATTTTGGTCTCTGGAAAATAACTTCTGCCAAATTTTGGCGGAAGTCATTTTCCTCCAAAATAGTCATATTTTCTCAAGTCAATAAAAAATGATTTCCGTTGACATACTTGATTTTCAGACACATCCAAACATTGGAAACTCGAAAAATGATTATTTTTCAGGTTTCTAAACACACCCTTATTCCCTTCGTGTTTCTTATTATGTCAAGGGATTGCGGGCGCTTTTAATTTTGCTTAATTGAAACCTTGATATGGAGGGCAACTCGCAAGCTAAGTTTTAGTATTTTTTTTCTTTTAAATTTGAATTGATCAGCTATAAACAATCAGACGGCATGTTATGATGAAATTTTAGCATACTATTTTTCTCATACATCGCATGGAACAATATATCTAGTTAATAATAAATACACATGATTAATTCACATTTAGCTTTCTTAGTAGTAGTAGTAGCAGTAGATCAAATGTTCATTTTAATTATTGAAATAATTTATAATTTAATACTCCGTATATAATAACCAAACACAAGGTCAAACAATAAACCTGATCTCATCTTAAGCTATAAATAAAAATAAGCGCTTCACAGGAAACAAGTGGTTTCGTGGTGTAGTTGGTTATCACGTCAGTCTAACACACTGAAGGTCTCCGGTTCGAGTCCGGGCGAAGCCAAAGTGATCTTTTGTTTGAGAAATGATTCTTTTAATTTGAGCATATTATATATTGGTGAATTCCAGGCCAGCTCAGCTGTAGCATAGTAGTTCACGTCTTCACAATTACCGACCACGAAAGTGTCCAGGCTGTCGGTAGAATTGACTTACATGATGACTTAAAGAATGCTATTCATGAAAGATAATCCATTCCATTGCTTCATCTCTTTGAGATTCCGAGTTTGAAACACACATTATTCATATATTATTTCAATTCAAAACAAAAGATATCTCTGATCTTATTTATTTCCATACCTATAAAGATTAATAAAGTAAATAATGTGACGACCCACATGAATAATTCGCACGATATAATTCTTGTGTGTTTCAGACTCTACTAAAAAACTTTTGTCAAATCCCTTTACACACTTAAGGCATGATTAGTGGTATTAACGAATAGAGATTTCGATAAATTACTCATATTTGTGTTCGTCAAGGTTGATTTTTAGATTTTTGTGTCTCGTTTTTGGTAAATAAATGATGCCCTACCAAAATAAGAATTTTTAAAATCAATACCGTAATTTTTTTCTAATAATAATAATAAGGTGGTAAAATGTTGTTGTGAAGGAAAAAAACAAAAGACATATTATGGAATAAATTACAATTATAACAATAGTATGCCAAGTTAAAATAAATGTTGATGTGGGCAAGTTTCAAACCTCTAACCTCCAAGTTGGAATACCCAATAAACACACCTTCCTACAATTTCTCCATGAAGCCTTTTAAATTTAATTGAAAACTTTTAGGTTTTATTTCTAACAGCATACATCAAAATATGATTATATGAACCTATATATTTCCCAACCCCATGTGGCATGTATAATCTAAATATTATTTAATCACTATTCCTATATTTCAACTCAAAGACGCCTATGTATGACTTCAGGTTCTTTTTTACTTAAAATTAATCAAATAATTAATGTCATCGGAACCGGGACCGCGATCACCCTTATATTTAGCGTTTCAAAATAAATTATTCCGTATTATTTTAAGATCCCCATGTTTTACAAAACTAAGGTTTATTTGTAGTTTAAAATAGGTTATAAACTCTAAAATAAGCTCTACCAAACAGAGTTTATGTCTACTAGTTAGTCTAACCATGTAGCAATATACTTGATAATTTATAATTTGTCCACACGGACTTAACTCACTGGTTTAGTAGACAGTATTTGAAAGAAAAAACTAATGTTTGAAACTCGACAGTGACACAGTGTAGAGTTTATGTCAAAGTGGATAGATCTCATATGCACACCTGCATTTGGTCATATTTTGAATCACTGAGTTACCGTGATTTACATCTTCTCATATATTTTGTCCGATCAAGATGTGGAAGACCTTGGGTTGGGATTCAACCTTCGGAGAAGATAACTTACAATTTGATCCACTCACGTGTCCCTACCCTCCGTAGACTTTATTGGAAGACTTGGAATTTTGTTCACACTCACAAATCACAATGGTGGCTCAAGGAAAAGTATTAGTATTTGCTTTATCTCTTTGATATTCTGAGTTTATGAAACATTATATTTTGTTCAACTCTATCTTCAATGGCTTTCGCTCATATCATTTCTCTAATAAATACAATCGAGTTCCATTTTCTACAGCCTCTTCCGTGTTTGATTTTTGATGATAAAGAAATGGTGGAATCTTTGTGCGAAAAGATTCGAAAATTGCAAGGCTTTTTGGAGGAATCTCACAAGAACAACAACATCTTCATCAGCAACCAGGCAAGGAGAGTGTTGGAGTCAAAGATCAGAGGTGTAGCTCATGATGCAGAAGGATGGATTGAATCAGATTTGCATCGACTTTATATGCGCTTTAACAGTGAAGAGCGCCCAGTCAAGACTTCTCAGAGTCTTTATCAAACCTTGCAGCAATTAAAACGAAGAATTGAATCAATTGAACGGAGGTATCATCAGATTGAGAGAAATAGCAACCATTCTGTTGAGCTGCAAAGAAGAAACACAATAGAGAATATCAAAGCTAGTAGTTTCTCTCAACCTCCATCTTCAGATCTCAAGAATGTTGTACTGGTAGGACGAGATGATGAGTTCCTTACCATAATGCAGAAGCTCATTTCAGATTCAGAAAAACGAGAAGTCATTTCCATCACGGGGATGGGAGGTATCGGGAAAACTACCTTAGTTAAAAGAATCTATGAAGATGTAGCAATTATTTCTCATTTTGATGTTCGAGCATGGATTACCGTGTCTCAAGAGCATAACTTTAGAGAAATACTCATTGCCCTTCATGGTTCTATTGTTTCTAATGGAGTAGTAGGCAACTCCGATCTCGAAGATGAGCTACGTCGGAAGCTGACTATTCGGAGGTACCTAATTGTCATAGATGATGTATGGAGCATTGAAGCGTGGGATGACATCCATAGATGGTTCCCAAAAGAAGATGTCAATGGGAGTCGAATACTATTGACTACACGACTCAAACAAGTGGCTGATTATGCTAGTTCAGGTAACAATTCTCTTGACATGCGATTCTTAAATTTCAATGAAAGTTGGAATTTATTTTACAAAAAAGTATTTGAAGAGAAAAAAATTTCCTGTGAATTTGAGCCCGTGGGTAGAGGTATTGTTACAAGATGTCAAGGATTACCTCTAACAATTATTGTGGTTGCTGGGCTTCTCACTTCATCCAACAAGACATCCTTAAGGCAGTGGGGGAACGTTGCTGAAAATTTGAATTCGCTGCTTAATACAGATCCCGAAGAAAAATGTTCAAAAACGCTTTCACTAAGTTATGAAAACTTGCCTATACACTTGAAAGTTTGTTTTTTATATTTTGGTGTTTTCCCAGAAGATACCGAGATTTGTGTGAAAGCATTGATTAGGCTATGGGTTGCCGAAGGATTTTTAAAGCAGGAGTTGAATAACACCATGGAAGAAGTAGGCGAAAATTACTTACATGATCTTGTAGACAGAGGTCTAGTTCAAATTGATAAGCGGAGTTCCAATGGCAAAATGAAGTCTTGTAGGCTCCATGATCGGTTGCATAGCTTTTGCTTGAGAGAAGTTGAGAGGGAGAAGCTTTTGTATGTTATAAATGAGAAGAATGTTCATAGTGGTATGCTCCAAAGAATAATGAGATCAATGTCAACAGGCTCGAATCCAAAAGCTCGCCGTTGGATTTCAAGTCAAATAATAAGAGATTTGGATGTGTCAATTGCTCGAGCGTCCAAGGAAATTCGTTCCATTCTATACTTTACAAATGAGTTTAAATGGACCTACTTATCCCCTAAACCATTTACCTTTCTTAAATTGCTAAGGGTGTTAGACATACGTCTATGTTTGATGGATGGTATACCCAGTGAAATAGTGAATCTCGTTCATTTGAGATACTTAGCTCTGAGAAATGATTCGGTTTTAAATTTACAATGGCTAAAGCTTCAAAGTTTGCAAATAATTATTATTAATACTTTTGATGATAGTGAATCTTACTGGGGATCAATGCTTCATGTTTTGGATATGCCACTACTAAGGCATGTGTATCTTCCCAAGAGTTGTTTCCTTAATCTCCCAAAGTTAGTTCAAGGTAATCTGCAAACCATATTTTGGTTGAGTCTACCTCAACGTTTGCGAACTAAACTAGGGTTCAAAACAATTCCAAACGTGAAAGAACTTGGAATTTACATTAAGGAAAAGAATCCATATAAACTGCTGCCTGGTTCACTTGCCGATTTGTGTCGATTGGAGAACTTGAAAATTGCAGTGGAGGAAGATATTTGTTCTAGGGGCTTGTTTCAACTTCCAACAGCTTTTCCATCTAGCCTTAAGAAATTGAAACTTATTTATACTTATCTTCCGTGGGAGGATATGGGCATTATTGGAACATTGCCCAACCTTGAGGTTCTAAAACTAATGGGGTACGCTTTTTGTGGCCCAAAGTGGAGAACGGAGAATGGTTTCTATAAATTAAAGCACTTGCAAATTGTAGAGTCAGATCTCAAGCATTGGACTGTGATTGCCGATCATTTCCCTGTCCTTGAATGCCTAATTCTATCTTGCTGCGAGAATTTGGAAGAATTTCCAAGTGCTATTGTCGATATTACCACGCTTCAGTTAATCAAGTTAACCCGTTGTAGCTCTTCTATTGTTACTTCTGCTAAACAAATTCAAGAAGAGCGATTGGGTTTTGGAGATAGTCAATTTGTTGTCCATGACTTTCATACAATTTTTGGAAGGTACTATTTTCTAATTCAAATTATGAATTTTGCAAGCTATGTCTGAGCCTTATGATTCAATGGATTGTTTTCTTCATGGTTCATTCTTATTTATTCTCTTCATTTTTTTTTAATTATGTTTCTAGTGAACCTGTGCGCCAGTTCTCAAGAAGAGAGGATGCGGGGTATATTAGCTCGAAAAAGAAATTGATATATGTAAAAAAAATAAAAGAGTAATTTTGTAATAAAATAAAAATATTTATGTTTTGAGATTAGAATATATATATATATATATATATATATATATATATATATATATAATGCCACAATAAGCATTGGATGTATATGTAATTTTTCTATAGAGGAACAGAGACATATTTATCACACTTGTGATTCTTGATGATAGAGAAATGCTTGAATCTTTGTGTAAGAAGATTCGACTTTTGCAAACCCTTTTTTTTAGTATACTCAGAATTTTCACTATCGTGATTAATCCCTTCGCTGAACAAGTCCTTTTGGAGGACTCTGACAAGAACAACATCAACAAGGAGAGTGTTGGAGACAGAGATTAGAGGTTTGGCTTGATTTTGTGTATTTACAATTTGTGTTGAGGACAAGGAAGAAAAAACTAATCAAAGTGCAGGATTCACAGGTTCAAAATGACATTCAAATAAAGTATTTTATGTGTATATTATTTTAACAGATTATGTGTCTTTAATAAGTAAATTGAAGCTACATAATATGTTAACTACAATCACATAGCCGTTAACATATTTTGTGCTTGTAATTGATCGTATTATGTGCCTTTATTTAACAAATTATGTGTCTTTTAATTTATTTAGACATATATTTTATTAATCGAAGACACATAATATGTTAATTTTTTGACCAAGGTGGCCTTTGCTCTATGGTATAACAATATTAATGTCTAATTCAATTTCAATTCACCCAGGGAGCTAATGGAATTCAATTGGCTCAACCAATTTGAAGCTGTACAATCTATTTCAGTTGGCGAGGCTATCTTCGTGGCTTGCAACTTTGGGAAAAAAATATATAATGGACTGACTGAAGTTTAATTCCTTGCATTGCTTAGTACAAAGTCTCAAGCACGAGGATCTACACGAAATGGGCACAACACTAGAGCATTGACTCTAGAATTTGAATAATTATATTCTAAGCTTTGTATTCTTGTGAATTGTTGGCATAATAGTATGTAGTAGCTTAAACTTTATTTATATACTAGTTTTTTACGCGCATTGCGCGATTGGGATAATGTCCAATGCTTTTTTTTTTTTTTTAAATAAGTACTTTAAAGTATATTAAGGCAGGATTATATTGAAATTGTTCATGCATAGATAATTGAAGGTTGAATTTGCGTATTTAAATAGGTAATTCTTCTCCCAAAGGTTGAGTCCTCAACCCCAAGGGCCCCCCACACTCCGGCCCGACAGAGCATTGTGGGAAGTTGTAAATCACGGTGACTCAATGGTTCAGTAGACAGGGCCAAATGCTGATACGCACAAGGAATCTGCCCACTTTGGACATAATTCTCGCACTGCCGCCGCCGAGGTTCAAACGTTGGTCTCTTCTACCAAATACTACCCACTAAACCATTGAGCTAAGCCCGTGCGGGTTAAATAGGTAATTCTCAGTTTACAAATGCAAGATAATATAATCAAGATTGATTATAATTGTCAATAAAATAATTGTATAGGTATAGTTGAAACCAAATACGGGACATAAGGGAGAACACATAAAAATTAGGGCATAAAATATTAAATATATACTAATATTGTTTGAGGAGATTCCGACATTAGGATTTGTGGTTAAGTTCTATTAAGACTTTAATATTAGAATTAGATTAATGGTGTAGTTATAATTCTATATTAGACTTTAATATTAGAATTAGACTAACGGTGAATTAACGGAAAAGTTAAATGGATAATCATATAATTAAGGATAAATTAGAAAATCTTAAAAGAAAAAAATTATAACCTGAACAATATGAAACATTCATTTGATTTAATAATTTGGCGGTCATTTTTTCTACCCAATGTTAATAATTAAATAAATTCGCTGGTCAAATCCGCTAGTATAATCCGTTAACTGCTGATTGTCAAACAAGGACATTGCGAGGTAGTTCTCACTTCAATTTGTTGTGTGATTTGAATACTCTCTTTGTCACAAAATCTCTCAAGTAGTTAATATGGTTGGCTTTATTAATTATATTTTTTTAATTTTTTCATGGTATTAATAAAATACTTGGTAAATAAATATATAGCATTATTTTGTATTATAACTTTGATATTTAATTAGAAAAATAGTGCACAAAAAACATAATAGATAATGTTGTGAATATAATCAATTGATGAATTTGAATGTAAAAATTTTTACATTTGAGAAAAATAAAGACAATATAACTAATGAAAATATTTCTTTTAATTAATTTATTGATAATTAATAATTTTTTTCACTGAATAAAGACATTGTAAGGACAATGTAGCGAATATAATCAATTAATAAATTTGAATATAAAGAATTTTTATATTGAAGAAAAATAAAGACAATATAACTAATAAAATTATTTCTCTTATTTAATTTATTGATAATGAATATTTTTTTTTTGAATAAAGGCATTGTGGACACATAATTCTAAATTAAAGAAATGCATATGTATTATTTTTTGTTGTAACTACTAAATTATTATTTATATAATTTAATAAGAGTAAAATAGAGTACTAATTATGCCAACTTTAATTGGAATAAGGTTGAGAAAAATAAAGACAATATAACTAATGAAAATATTTCTTTTAATTAATTTATTGATAATTAATAATTTTTTTCACTGAATAAAGACATTGTAAGGACAATGTAGCGAATATAATCAATTAATAAATTTGAATATAAAAAATTTTTAAATTGAAGAAAAATAAAGACAATATAACTAATAAAATTATTTCTCTTATTTAATTTATTGATAATGGATTTTTTTTTTTGAATAAAGGCATTGTGGAACATAATTCTAAATTAAAGAAATGCATATGTATTATTTTTTGTTGTAACTACTAAATTATTATTTATATAATTTAATAAGAGTAAAATAGAGTACTAATTATGCCAACTTTGATTGGAATGAGGTTCGAACCTAAGACCTTTTTTTTTTATTGAAACCAATGAGTAAGTTAATGGTGAACTAACGGCAATTCTTAAAATTTTAACGGAATTAGTAACGGTGTGTGGGTATTTTAGGAAATTTAGTGTAAAATTTAAATATGATCAATCTTTTAATCAATCTGAGCCATTCATTTGATTAAAATCTGTGACCGCCATTTTTTCTACCAATTATAGGCCTAACTCTCTTGGGCTCTTATTAGTATAGTAGATTTTACTTACTAGTAATTGTAATTTAATTTATCAATAAATTTTTGACATCATCTAAATTAGCAAAGAAAGTAATGGTTGTAGAAATAAAAAAACTTACTTGAGCTTTTCAGTTCAGAATTAGTTTTATTAAAAATGTAAGTATAACTATACAATGTAATATTTAATATTTTTAAAATTTTAAGTATGTTATTATTATGTTGATTTTAAAGCTTATTGTTACTTGTACTATTATTTGACTTTGAATTTGAAATAACTAATTTAATTATATAGCTAATGTATTTAAAAAATCACTCTTTCTAATAAAATATATTGTTTTCTACTTTAATATTCGTACTATAATTCGAGTTAAAATTTATATTCAAATATTATAAAATATCATTGCATCTATACTCTAATTGATTGAAAATAAAAAAGAATAGTTGGCTGAAAATGAATCTAATATTACTAATTGGCTGAAAATATAAAAAGAAATGAATATTAATAATTGACTGCAAATAAAAAATATCCATAATTGACTAAAAAAATGGTCAGATCAATGCATTTTAATTAAAAATTGAACGAAAATTAAAATTAGACAAAAATATTTCAATAATAATATTCTACATCATCAATAGTACATTCATATTTTAAACAATAGTAAAGGTAAATTAAAAATGGAACGAAAATATTTCAATAATAATATTTACATCATCAATTAAAAATAGAACGAAAATTAGGTAAAAATATCACTGCATTTGATATTCTAATTGACTAATTGACAGGAAATAAAAAAGAATAATTGGCTGAAAATGGATTTGATATTACTAATTGATTGAAAAAATATAAAAGAATCACTAACTAAGTGATATTCTACCATATATATATTTGTCCTGATGGACTAAAGGTGTTAGCTCTAGACGATGATGGATAAGATTGTGTTGTCACTACCAATGTCGTATACAAAGAAGTTTAAATGAAAATATTGCTATATATCTACACAAAAGTATATCTTTCATACAAATGAATTAGAAAAACAATTTATTCATATAACTGAGTTGTTAGAGAACGAGCACATTTGCCTAATTTATGAAAATACTAAACAATGATAAATAAAATGTTTAAAGTTATAGCACTGCATGCGTACATCTAGACATTAGCTATTAATTTGAGCAATTATTTGCAGAAACTCAAGCAATGATAACATCAAAATACATAAACGATCCAAACCATATCTTTAATTGCACTATATAATATTTGATATTCTAATTTAAATAATTATATATCGATTCAAATATTCTTAATAGAGTTAATACCCCAAATCGTCCTCGACTATAGTGGTTTTTCTCAATTTCGTCCTAAACGACTTTGGTGACCTAATATCGTCCCAGACTTTTGTGTTTCGCTCAATTTAGTCCTCCATTTTTTATTCCGTCAAATTGGTGTTAAATAAAGGGACAATTCAATAATGTCAATATTGATCTCTCTTTACTTTCAACTTGTGAAGTGCGAAATTCCTCTTTCTTGTACGAATTACACCCAGAATTACTCCCGGACCTGCAAATCAAATTTTATATTCGCAGTTTTAGGAGTAATTCTGGGAGTAATTCGTAAAAAAAAAAAAGAATTTCGCAGTTTACATGTATATGAGTAAGAGATGCCAATATTAAAATTACTGAATTGTCTATTTATTTAACACCAAATGGAAAGAATAACAAATGAGGGACTAAATTGAGCAAAAACACAAAAGTCTGGGACTAAATTGAGCGAAACACAAAAGTCTGGGACGATATTAGGTCACCAAAGTCGTTTAGGACGAAATTGAGAAAAACCACTATAGTCGAGGACGATTTTGGGTATAAACTCATTCTTAATATATTACAACAAATCCACTCCGTGCATCGCACGGGTGA